AGTGATACGAGAAGCTGTTGAGATTGATTTTCGCGTCCCGGATAAACGAGGGGGGAACAGCTTGAGACCTTGGTCTCTCTCCTGAGAGAGGAGGTCTCTACCTCGAACGTAACCCTTCCCCCCTTTCCCCGAACGTTGCGACGCAATCGTTCTATGACCACCGGGCTTCCTTTTCCTGGACGAAAATAAGTTCGAGAAAGAGAAACTGCCTCCCTCGGGAAATGTAGTCATCTGCGCTGAGAAATTTCGAGATACCCGAGGGTAGTTTTCTGCGATATTCACGTATCTCCGAGGAGATACCGAGACGGAGTCCTCGTGTACCGCAGCATTTGAGGAAGAAAGCGCTCCTCGAAGCACAGATTGTTTCGCAAAAAGAGAGAGAAAGAGAGAAAGAGAGAGAGAGAGAAAAAAGAGAAACGACACGAATCCTTAAACGCTTAGAATTTGCCGGAATACAACTGCGCAATACTTATTCGAGAGTAACGTGAAGAGAAGTCGGGAAAATAAAATAAATACGAGAGCAGCAATATCACATAAAATATAACGTCGCAATGAATAATAAAGAGAAAGATCAGAGAAAGAGAAAGAAAGAGAGAGAGAGAGAGAATTCACTTAGAAAATCCAGAAATAATACATACGCGCGTACCTGTGTGTGTGTTTTTATGCACCGTGCATTATTAATGGCGGAAAGATCTCTCTTAACGTTGAGCTTCCAAAAACCTACATGAATATTTTCGTCAAGTTCCGAAAATATGAACAATATACCAACTCGCTCGTACGTAGCGCTCGCGTTAGATTAGCGGATGGACCATCGCGGGTAGGCTTGGTTGTATATTCGTTTCCGGGGGGAAAGATTTAAGAGACACCCCGCGATGTATTTACGACGTCGCCTGCGTTTAGCGGCGCGGCGCGACGAGTTTCAAAAATACGACGGATGTTTAACGAGCGGCGAAACGTCACGGCAGATATCCGCGAGCGGTCATCCGGCAAACGAGCGGAGGACCGGCCGGAACCGACGATTATTGGGACGAACGATGGCTCGTCCCGGGTTTCTCTCTCCCGAACCGCTGATCGATGGACGCGCGTTGTTATTACTACTGTTTACCAATTAGCCGGCGCGCAATTATAATTGGTAATTGCAGGTATCCGCGCGAACCGCGCGTTGGCCGCGACGTCGCAACGGTTGTTCCGCCCGCGAGCACACACACACACACACACACACACACACACACACACACACACACACACATCGCGTTAATTTCAAACACCGCATCACGTCGAAATGGAAGTGCTCGCGCGCACATACGAGCGACGTGTCATTAATTGAATTCTCGATGACTTAATGACCGTTGAGTCGAGAGCGGAAACAAGCTGGGAGCACACACACACAAGCGAGCGTGTAATAGAAAAAAAAAAATTCATTTCTCGAATTGAATAGTTTTGCGCGCTGCAATTACGAGAAAAATATATGTACGTTTGAAAAATCTGAAACGAGGAGCGGGGGGGAGGGGGGAAGGGGTTCTTTCTCTTTATTTCGAAACGATGCGATATTTTTCAGATTTACGTGACAAACATCTGTCAACCGGCTCGAATTCATTTACGGAAAGCGGAGCGATGAAAAGAGGACGCGAGCAATTTTTCAGAGGGTGATAGAAAAGGGGGTGTTTTATCGCGCGCGAGACACAGAACGCGCAACATAAAGTTTCGTCCCGCCGCCGCCGGAAGGGCCGCACGTTTCAGCGCGAGAGAAATCGCTGCGCGACGAGAGAAATATATATATATATACACACATCCCCCCGTATTCGCACTCCCTCCTCTTTCCCACCTCCCTCTTCCGGGGATAAAGAATAGACTTCGTTTCTCCGGTCGGCGCAGATCCGATATAACGATAGCGACAAGTTAAAGAGGATGCCGAAAGGATATCGAAGGTTGCGCCGTCGATTGAGCACGAAGGTTACGAGAGGGCAGTTTCTCCGGAAAACTGATTCTCATCCCCCTCCCCCCCCCGCCAGTATCAGCAGTTCGGCCGAGTTAGAAAAGTGGACTTCTCTCATAGATTTTTCTTGCAAATGGATTTTCTTCGCGCAGAAGCCGCAAAGGATAAAATCGTGACGGACAAACGGGGAAGAGTTTAAGGGAAACGGGATCTCTCGAGACGCGTTTGTTGAAACAAAACTCTTTTTTACCTTCGTGATTTTTAGTTCCGTCGCGCGACGGCACGAGTAATTATACCACCGAGATTAAATTGTTAATCACAAAATGCGGCAACGACATCCTCTCCGTTTCAATTGAAATCAACTCTCGAGTTAAAGTTTTTTCGCAAAAGAAGCCTGTCGTGACAATTTTCCGACGCGGTCGTAAAAACCGCGTCGGTTTTACCATAGCGCCCGCACGCTATATTCCTTCGGAAACGCGTCCTTCTGGCGCCGTTCCGCATTGGCCCGTTTGAAATAAGACAGCCGTCAATCCGAGGTAGACCTTCGGGAACGCGCGGAAAATCGATCGACCGTTTCCCTCATCGCTTCGCGATCGCGCGCTCGAGAGCTGAAAGCCAAAGCGAATATGCAAGCGGTCGCGTCGTATCTCCATTCATCTGCATACGAGTCGAAGTCCTCCACGGAGAGCAATAGACCGTTCTCGGTATATACCCCATCGACACGCAAGACTCCTCTCGCGCCTTTGACATCGGTATTATTGTGTTCCGGCGAGATATAAACTCCTCACCTCCTACTCCCTCGTATAGGACTCGTACAATAATATCTCTCTCTCTCTTTGTGCACGCGGGATATCTTCATCTTGGAGCGACCTTTTAATTATTCAACACCGGAATATGCGTTTTATCACCTTTTCGCGCCAAAGGATAATGAAGCCAGAAATTATCCTGTTTCCTTCTTCTTCAGAATATTCATTTCTCTCTGCTCGTATTTTATACTTGGTGTATTTATTTCCTAATTATTAGATTTAAAAAAAAGGCATTCAAAGGATTAAAAAAAAATATATTTCTCAGGTGCCATAGAGAGATTCGGGGGAAAAAGTTCTTCGTACATGAAAATTCTAATTACGTGTGTGATTGAATACACAAACGATATCTTCTCCAAATCTCTCGTACACAATTATTGCATCTAAAATTTGTGAACATACGATGAAAAACTTGTCGCGGGGATTACGCGCTGGCCGCGCTGGGATTGTACAATTTTTGTCGAAATTTATTAGAAAACTCAAACGTCTCTGTGTATTTTTCCGCCTCTCTCTTTCAAGACGCGATTGTTCGCCGGAGTTCTATTATGCGCAGTACGCAGGACACTCGGGGAATTCTCGTATTCCGCGCGTATTTTCTTTGCGTGTGTGTGTGTGTGTGTACTAAACCTCGAATATCAACGGACGGCGTCCACGCGCGCGCATTGCCTCTCGGAAGCCTCCTAGGAAATCTCGCAGCGAGAGGTACCGCCGCTCCTTTGACACTGGAGTTAGCCTATATGAGCTTTCCTGTCTGTGCAGTGAAGGATGCCATCCCAGCGCGCATCCAGCGAGGATGCGACCTCCTCTCTCTCATCCTCCCCTCTCTCCCCCCTTTTCCGGTATCCTTTCTCGACATGGTCAAAGGCGGAAAGCAAGGGGAAGGCGGTTAACATACACTGCGCGCGCCAAGAGGTGGAGAGATCCCCTAACCGTGGGCGCGCGCGCGCGCGCGGACGTTAACCTTTGCCGAAAAGCAGCGCAGCAGCCTGTCGCTCTTCGCCTTTGAGTCGGCGATTGTTCTACGATTGGCCGACGACGCGAGACAGATATCTCTTTCTCTTCTCTCCCCAGCTTTGTCCGGCACATTTATCCGGCGGGAATCTGCGCCCGGCATACAGATGTACCGCGTCATGATACTCTCTATCTCTCTCTCTCTCTCTCGTGACGATGAAACGGACGTTTGGACGGATGTGACGTGTAACAAGGGTCGATAACGTCATCGCCATTCGCAAATGTAGAAACAGGAGCGGAGAAAATAGGGGACTTTGATGTGGGCGAGACGAGAGATAGCGGATATGAGGAGGAACTCTTGACGTTCCACCCCTTTAAAGTATCCCACTTGAACGGCGTGGAATAATAAAATTTATTATTTAAATGTCCTCTTTCTTTCTCTCCGGTTATAAATTCCGATGTGTATGGATCGAATTTCGTCCGTCACGGAGGCGAAAGATTAAAGGTCGTCGCGTGAAATGTTCAACTTTCATCGCGCGCGAGAAAAAAGCCGGCCGGCCGGCCGGTCGGTCGCGCGAATTCAATCAATCGATATTCGTTTTCATGTTAAAATGCGGAAACGATTGCCGCGTGCTCACGGTCAAAAAAAAATTTTTTTTTCCTCCCCCCGCCCCACATTCGCGCTGTGGAACGCGCGGCATGCTCGGCGCTGCCACAAAGACGGCGTCGTTGCAATCGATATTGCGAATTTTCAAAAGCCGCATGGAAAAGCCAAGCAGAGAGAGGACAGAGAGAGGAAAACGGAAAAGCGGCGGCGGCGGCGGCGGCGGAATTGCATGTCGGTCTGTGTCTGGAATTTAAGTATTTCAGCACGTGCACCGGAGCACTCATCAATATGCGGGCGAATCGTTAAAAGTTAAATTATTCCACAGCGGATTCGGCATAATAACTTCCGGGCGGGTATTATGTAAAAATCTTCGGAATTATTTCGGAAAACGAAACGACGCCGCTTTGTTAATTTTTTTTTTTTTTTTTTGTTGTTCTTTGTTTTCTATTGCACGAACGTTCGAAATAACGAAAAACAATTGTTTTGGAAAATTATTATCCGAAACGATCGTTTTGGACGTACGCATATCTCGTTGCTTTGTGACACGATCCGAAAGACACGCGCAAATTAAATGGCGGCGGCGCTTGTGGATATTTCCAGGATTTGTTGGTTTCGTTCGTTACGCTCATTTTTGTTTTTAATACAATTTGTTTTATTCATCAAACGTAATAAATAATACAAAACTAATATCGAAGTACCGGTTCTTCGATACATACAACAAGCGTTGCGGGAAGACAAGACAAACAATCAAATGCGCGATATTGTTGTTACGTAAGACGCTTTACATGATCCGTTTTCCTTCGAGAAGTCTTGATGAAGCCGAGGAACTGCAGCGCGGCGACCGCTTGAGTAAACCGAGCTCTGAATTCCACGTTAAGGATAAGTTACTGCCGACGATGATGAAATGCGAGATAACACGTGCGAATTATTCAAACTAGAAGGTATCTAGTTCACGGAAGTTACTTCCATGTGCGACGACGGGAGGGAGAGAGGGAGGGATTCTCCCTCCCTCCCTCTCTCTCTCTCTCACGTTAGAAAACGTGATATGAATTTCAAAGACACAAGAAGACAAATCTCGAATCGATCATGTCGAACGAGCGAGCTTTTGTTTTTAAAGGATACTGCAGTTGCGGATCCACGTCGCGTTGCTCCTCGGCATCGGCTTGCGGCTCCACGATCGTCAGAAATGCCTGAAAAAATAAAACACAAAAAGCTCAAAAGAGCAAAAGTTTTTATCGAGAAAAAATCACACAGACAACACTCGCATGTTGAAAACATTCGGTACGGCATCTTCTCGCTATTGTCGGTGCCAGGCCGTCTCTCTCACTCTCTCCGTTTTGCTCGGCGCAATTTTCACGAGAAGCGTTTTACCGGCCTTTCTAACCACCGACCCGGCAATAAAGCAAGTCCCTCGCGCGCCTCGCTCGCAACGACGTGCTTGCGTGAATCATTCGCGGTGGCGACGGCCGCAGCGATTAAATCACGAGACGGCCGGGTTGGTGCGTGACCGTAAGTGTAACAGAGATTAACCTGTAAACATGAGCACGCGGGGGCGCTCGAATTGTTACCTGCAGCCAGTCGTACATATTGATCAGCTTCCTGGACTCCAAGTGCAGTTTATAAATTATACTCAAGTCGGGGAGCGTGCGCGGAATGTCGCCGTCGTTCTCCAATTTGCAGCAGTCGCACTGAAATATGCACATCCAATTAACCACGTCGCGGGAAAAACGAATGAAAGCGCGATTTTTTAACGCGGTCGGTCGCTTTCAAATAAATCGCTCGTACAAAGGAAGATTAAATGCCACGAAAACCGAAGCGAGTCAGTCAATGTCTTCTTCGTGCTTTGAAAGCGGATATCGAGATATTAATAACTGAAAGATTCCGAAAGACCTGAAAGACCTCGAGACGTAAACAGAAAATAAAAGCGCACCGCGCTTAAAAGAGCAAAAAAAAAAACAAAAAAAAATTCGAATAGTGTTCGGCAATCTTGGCTTTTCTCGTTTTTTAACCGCGTAAAATTAAAAAAAAACAAAAAAATAAATAAAGTTTCGTCTATTGTGCGCACATGTACGTTTGCATTATTCAAAGACACTCCGCGCGACTCTAAATTGGCCGGTTTTTCGAGCACGTTTCCGCTGTGTGGCGACGCGGCGCAACAAGAGACCCGGCTAACGAAATCGCGTGCGCGAGCCATTCGTGCGGAACTTCTCCACTCACGTCCAAGTACATCTGCGGATCGCTCAATCCCGTGTGTATGGCGGCCCTTACGGAGCCGCGGATGTGGTGCTTCGCCTGGTTCCCGTCATTGTAGCAGAATATCTCGTGTGCCGTCACACGACTCGGGTCGACCAGGTGGACGGAGAATACTTCTCGATCCAGGTAATCGATCAAATCGCACTGCGCCTTGTGGGCAGAACGCGATCGTTGCTGACTTATGTTTTCAAGCAGTTTCTACGAAAAGAACGTTGAAATTGTTTGTATTTTTTAAGTCGACGATCTTCATTTTCTGAAGTGTTTTGATTTTTTTGCGCTCGTTATTAGTTACATAAATTTTATTGATCATTTTTTTCGATTTTATATATACCTCTTTCAATTGTTTGCGGTTTTCCGCCAACTTTTTAAGATTCTCCTTTGTTGTGCTGATTATCTCGGAAGTTTCTCCCGTGCTGCTCAAAATGGCATCTCGAATCGTTTTGACATGAGCTTCGAGACGGGCTTGCATCTCCTTTATCTTCGGATCCTTGGATTTCCCGACGATCTTTACGATCGATTCGAGTTTTGAGAACAGCTCCTCCTTCGACAAAACTTTCAATAATTTCATGCACTCTTCGTACTCCGCGGATTCCGTGAGATTGCTCACGTAAACCGCTTTGGTGTAAACTTCCCGCAACTGAAAACAATTGCCGTTTTGTTTTTCTCCCATCGTTTGTATTTTTCCGAATCAAGAGTTGGTTTTCTCTCGTAACGTAAACTCATTCCAAATTATCTAAACACCCCATTACCTGTTTGCCCATTGGCGAACCCGGCAGGGAAGCGACCAGACAGTGTAAACATCTCAAAATAATCAAAAATCGCTCCATGAAACTGTGAAACTCGTTTAACAAACGCTCGAAACTCTCCTGCGAGAAAATCAAGTTTAAAATGGAAGTTCGAGAGACACGAGAGATTATGAGATTTCCAAAAATTATCTTGTCAATAATTTATGAAAGAGAGGGAGACGTCGAATAATTTTGCTTCCCGCAGTCGTTGCAAATTCGATTTGTATACACATTTGGACATTTTTAATCTCTTCAAATATTCAAGCACTTTCTTGTCTGTTATAACCGATTTGATTCGGAGAACTGTCAGATCGGAAAGTTTGAAATATATACTATCGAGAGATTAAATTAAAGCGCTTTATTTGTCCATTACACAGCCACACAAAAAAAAAAATTTCTTTGGCCTGGGGATCAGACCATGTTTATTATATGTTTTTGGGGTCGCTGAATCCGAATCCGAGGTCCATTAAACCCTATCGGGTCGGGGTTCCGCCATAACCTCAAAAAACACCATAATCTGAGCTCGAAACTCATATAATCTTTTGATTCAAGCCATAAACACAAAAACCAATTAGATAAACCCCATAACCCCATCTTTTGGTAAACCTAAGTCTTCTATAAGATCATTCAACACCAATCTTGAGAATACTTCGATACGATAGTA